AATTGGCATTCTTATAAAATTATTGTGGTAATCTTCTTTTTTAATCTAATCAGAATCGGACAATCCGGATCGGGTATCGCCTAACACTTTTCGGTTTCAATGATAAAATGGGATTCGCCGCTATCCACGTCATTGAAGCATGATTTTTGAATTGGCTTTCTTATAAAATTATAGTAGTGGGCCCTACCCTAGTCATAGAAGCATGGTTTTTGAATTGGCTTTCTTATAAAATTATAGTAGTCGTTTTCTTTTTTAATATAATCATAATCGAACAATCCGGATCAGGTATCGCCCAACACTTTTTAGTTTCAATGCCACCTTTCACGAGAAGTATGAATTTTTAATTGGCTTTCTTATAAAATTATATAGTAGTCTTCTTTTTTAATCTAATCAAAATCGAACAATCCGGATCGAGTATCGCCCAACACTTTTCGGTTTCAAAGACAAAATGGGATTCGCCACCATCCACGTCGTAGAAGCATGATTTTTGAATTGGCTTTCTTATAAAATTATAGTAGTGGTCCCTACCCTAGTCATAAAAGCATGGTTTTTGAATTGATTTTCGTATAAAATTATAGTAGCGGGCCCTATGAAGCATGGTTTTTGAATTGACTTTCTTATAATATTGTAGTAGTAGGCCCTGCCCTACCCCACCCCACCTTACCTGCGCTAATTGAACACGCTTACTTCGTCATTGGTCAAAAGACCCTATTCTCATATCGGGCTCACCTCAGGGCTCAGAGGCACATTTGTGTTAACAAAGACATTTAGGTCACCTTTCAATGGTGGCATTCTCTCAAAAATCTTTGATGTGGGAACATTTGAAGGGTAAGTTTTGCACCTATCTCTCTCTTATTTAGATTCGTTTACATGAAATAATCAACAAAATAATTTTTTTGAAGATTAATCATATTTATTATTTTTTTATATTGTACAAAAAATAAAAATATATAGTTGAGTTTTAATTGCATATGGTTACATAAAGAAACTCTATTTGATTCATTTACAAAAATTAGTATAATTATATTGAAAGTTGTATTGTTTATTTATCTTAATATTATGTCAGTATAATCATATGACTATGACCACATTAAAATTTATAGGGGATTTTATTTTGTTTTTAATCATATGATATGGAAGTATTTTATAATAATTTTTAATCATGTTTATTGTTATATTATAATTAACAATATATATTGATAACCAAATCTTGTATTTTATTTATTAATTTATTTATATTATAAATTATATAATATATTATTTTTTCTTATAATTGTAACTAAGATTTTTTAAACTAGATGATATTATAAGACACTTTAGAATTTTTTATTTGTAAAATAAAATAATTATAAAATATAAAGCTGTAAACCAACAACTTCAACTTCAATATATATTATTATACTTAGTTAGGTTGTAATAATTTTGGATGAGTAAAACGAAATACTAAATGTTTGATATTTTGATGTGATACTAATTTCACTTTATGTGTATAGTAAAATGATGATAAAATAATAAAATACAAACTAATAATTCTAATTTCAATATATAATATTCTATTTAGTTAGGTTTTAATAAATGTTTGATGATAATCTTCATACAGGGAAATAACATTTCAATATTCGCTTATTGATACAAAAAAATAAAAGTTATGAGATTTCTTATGGGATTCCTAAAAAAAAATAGTTATAATGATTTTTAATAATTTTTTTTAAGGTCGAATAAGACCGATTCCTGATCTGAAATGCTGATTCACCGATTTGGATGGGTTTTTAGGTTGTTCGATCTATGGCACCGATCCGTTTTTTAAACCACTGTTAAGCATGAATCTATGCTTTCGATGATTCAGTATAAATTTTATGCTTCCCATTCGTTACCAAAAAAAAGTATTTATTGTAGGCATGGCAAGGCTGGTTCAGTTCAAGTTTTGGACCCGAATAGTATTCGGGTTTAGGTTTTGGACCCGGATCTGACCTTTGAGGTCCAAAATTTGGACCTATACCCGGGCCAGAGGACGGGTCTACATATCGGGTCTGGCCAAGTCCATTGCCATCCACTGAGAAATGTGGGTTGTGACAATGAGTTTTTTTTTACTGTTTTTTTTAACCATCGTATGCCTATATTATTGGCAACATTTTCAATATTCCACAATATTGATGAATACCGACATTCCTTACTAATTTATGTAACAATTAGAAATTCTTAAGTTTTGGACGCAGCCTTGGACCCACAATATTAATGAATGCCGACACTCGGATCCAAATAATATTAGGGTCTAGGTTTTGGACCCAGACTTTGAGGTTGGGTCTATCCGGGTCCGATTGGTCCATTGTCACCCCCAATCATGCTCTAAAGAAGGATACCTTACACTAGAATAATAGTATTATAATTAAAGAGGAAGGAGCTTGAACGAGACAGCTTGTTGACATGTATGAGAGAAAGAGGGGTGCTTGAGAGAGACAGAGAGAGAGAGAGAGAGGGTTACATAAAAAGGTTTGGCAGGCTTAGGCCATGACTTCTTCAGCCTTGTGTGGCCCGGCCCAGCCCAGTCCATCCCTGTCGTTGCCACCGCTATGGAGGAATGGATGTTTTACTTCCAGATCCACTGTGAGCTCTTTTCACTCCTTGACATGTCAATGAAAAAATTCAATGAAGGGATTAGGGAACATTGTTTAAACTTTAAAGCAATCATTCGAGCAGGGTACTCAGCCGGTGCCCAACCCGATTACTTGGCTCGAGTAGTGCCGAGTTCTAGCCAAGCTAAAAAATATTAAAAAATACAAAAATCTCAAAAATAAGAGTTTAAAGTAAAATTAAACAAAAAAATATCAAAATGAGATAAAAAAAAGTGAAAATTTTGATTTTGAAAAAATTAATTTGTGATAGGGGAGGGAGGCGTATTTAAAGAAAAAAAAAAAGAGAAAAAATGTAAAGTAATAGCCAAAATACTTCCAATTTTTTTCAGAATGATAGAAAATATAAATAAGCCTATCATAAAAAAATCCTTTATTTTTAGGATTTATATGATATTTTCTAAAACTTTTTAAGATTCCCGAGTGGGACGTCCAATTTGGGGATCCTCGGGCTTGTTAGGAACTTGGCCCAAGAAGGCGAAAACTGGGAAGGATATTTTTAAAATTTCGAAGGGCTATATCTTTTACCTAGGGAGGGTAAAATTGGTATTTTCTTCAGCATAAAAATGTTATTTTGAAATTTAACATATTTTGGTGGTATTATCGTCATCATCCCAAAAAAGATGAGCCTTTTATCTCAATTTGTCTCCCCAAAAAGACAAAAAA